TCTACCCATAAAAAAAATTAGATTATTCATGTTAGCTTTTGGCTAAAAGATATTCCTTGAAAATCTAAGTGACTTGAAGTAATATAGTGGCATATAATTAAGAGTATCCATATTGATGATTAGAATATTGACTAATATGATTGGAAAGAAAAGATAAGGAGAACACTGTGATGACTTTGCTAGTATTCAAAGCACATTTTGTTGATATATAGCCACTACGTCACACTTTGACTCAACATTTATCTTCAGACCAAATTATTTTCCAGATGAAATTTTGTGTACAAAACCATGGAGATAACGGAGCATACTTGATATTGTGGACTTTGCTCTGGTTATATCGCTATGTGATATAGCCGTTGACATGATATAGCGCCCACACACAGTCGAATCTTCATTTTGGACTCACTCGCTATTGGCTTTGCCAGATATATACAATGTTTATGAAGAATGAAAAATAAATCAACATAAATATTGAATTATAATATATCAATAAATTATAAAATTTAAATTGAATAATCTTGAAAATTTTATTGAAAAAAATTCAAATCCATTGGGATCTCATAATAATTTAAGTATGAAATATAATTTAGAAAAATAAAACAACTCAAATAAAATAGATTCATAATTCATAACTTGATTCCACTAAATTAGAGAAGTAATAAAAAATGAATTACTCTACTTTCTTTCAGATTGATGATAATCCGGAAATTGTAATAAGTCTGTATATTTTGAAATTTTGATTTCTAGCACTTGAGAGCCTTTAGATTGCATAGAATATATAAACCTCATTTGTTTCATTTTACTCAAATCAACATCAATATAACATTTTGACCATATGGATAGTCCAAATATATTATTGGTAGAGGTTTGAAGAAAAATGAATGAAATTTTGAAAAATATATAAGAAAATAAAAACGAATAATGTTATTTTTTAACAAAAAATAAAAAATATTATTTAGAAATCTCAAAAAAATATACCCAAATGGTCACAGAGCAGTATTTAACGGGGCCCCTCACTCCTTCCGGCCACATCCGAAACCCTAAGACGGTGTCCTGGTCAGGCGTCATCGCTCGCTACTTGGCTATGGAGCTCGTGCTGCAAAATTTAGCGGACCCGGGGAAGGGGAGAAGCGCTTGGCAACCGTCTGTGAGTGGGAAAGGTACGCCTAGAAACATCCTGGGCTTTTGGGAGATCAATCAACATAACAGGGTCCGAAGTAGACTTCTCGGACACACGAAAAAGCGTTGATTGGCCCGGGCGATAAAGCAGAGATGTATTAACAAGAGTGCACGAAATTTCGGAAGTACGTGTACAGTCGTGTAGTTTCAACTCCCCCAATGACGCGGTCGAGGGGAGAAGCGGCCGAGACTCGTCTTGGAAAGTACCGGAGTTAGGCTGGCTGTGATAGGGACGGGAGGTCGGATCGAGCCGCAGGAAGTACATCAACGGCGGAGATGTACTTGAAGGGAATGAGAGGTTGCGTCATCGATCCCTGTGTCACATCCTAAATGGAGTGTCTGGCTCAATATACCAAGAAGTGTATTAAGTATATCAAGAAGTTCACTGTTACGTTTTTCCTTTCCTTTTCCTAAACTTCCGGATTTTACCCGAACTCGACCCGATCGGAGCCCAACCTATTGAAGTCTCGGATTAAACTCTAGTTAAAATAACTAGAGTTAAACTTAATTTTACTTTTAATTTTAGTTACGATCAAGCCTAGGGTTTCACATACTTTGTATAAATGAAAAAGCCAGCCACAACTCGCACTTCACACTGTCAAGTTTTTCAATAAAGATCTTCGTTTTTATGCGCTAAACATTTTGTAAAGTTTCCAATAAAAAAACTCATTGTTACCATGTATGTAATCCGAGAGTGGTACACCGAGTATGATTTTGTAGGCGAATATTTTTCTGTGCGTGATGTTTATAGATTTTTGTGTTTACTATTACAATTAGTATTATAGCTACAAAAAATTGAAATATGAGGTTCAAACACGATGGTTGAGGTCGACCAGAATGATGTTTACAATGAGCATTTGTTGAAAGAGAAGAGATCGAAAAGTTCACACTCCATACCCTAGTTTGGGGACTAAGTACCAAGCGGCCTGGGAAGTAAAGTTTTACTTGAGGTTACACTTTGGAGACCTTAAGCTGGTGTAAAGCAATAAATTTCTTAGCAAGTTCTAGTTCATACTTTTGATTGGTTGCAATCGATAACTTAAGGCTGAAAAATGATGAACTACCACACCACCAACTGTCTGTTTCATCTTGGATGAAGCAGTGAGTTGTTCAATCATTCGATGTCTCCTCAAGAAAAAACCTTGACAGAAGATCATTGACGCTTTTGAGCTGAAAATATTAGGAGGGTTAAACGCTTCAACGAATTGAACGCAATGCTAACATAAGCTAACTGTAGCAGTAATTTTGAAACTCATCGCAATGTTCCAAACATGAATCTACATGCAAGGATGTACAACTACTTTATCATGAAAATCAAAGAGGATCAAAGTCGCGAGTGATTTGCATGGAGCATCAATGTGGTGTCATATGTGATGAAGACAAAGTTTGGAGACTGGTTGGTACTAGGAATCTAACTCTGTGGATCGTTATTAGTAGATTCTTTTAGAACTATACATTGAGTACAATGTGAAAGTGATTTGGTGCTTCTGCATTCCTCATTGTGAGAAAGTAATCAGGATCTATGGCAATGCTTATTGTGAGATAGAATGCATTTATGCGAAATATTTTGTTTCAACTCCTTGTTCGAGCCACATTCTACATGTTCGTGTCTTGTGTGGCAAGTGTGAGACAAGAAGTGCAAAGATGAATCAAAAACCGTTAATTGGCTTCAAGGCCTTGTCCTAAATGTCATAAGCATGTTGAAAGGAAAGATGCTTGCAATTTGGTCGGTTGCATTTGGTGTCAAGCCTTCCGTTAGCTTTGTGGATCAGTGATAGATCAAGAGCATACTTGGGACAGTATTGAAGGACAGAGTTGTGAACGCTACGAGAAAGAGAAGGAAAAGAAAGCAGCTAGAGCGCAACGGGATTTGAAGTGGTATATCCATTACCATATGCGATATAAGGTTCATATGCATTCACTTAAAGTTTAAGATTGTGCAACCCAAAATTGTTGTGTTAAAAGCTAGTGAATATTTAGTCAAAGACTAGAACTAGCTTACAAATAGACTGCAAAGGCATTTTTGAGAAAAAAGTGCAAAATCTCTATCGTTTGCTTTTGCTTTTTTGATATTCAGGAATAATTTTCTTAAGTATGATATACCAAAACCTCTTTAAGGATTAACAAATCCAGCTAGAGGAATCAGGAGATCGTCTTTTGAAGCTCGTTGAGAGTAATTTTAGGGTGGTTTAAGATTATAGGTTTTAGGGTTGCAGACGAATTACATAAATTCAAGGAAATGGAATGGAATTCATCACCTAACCGCATTAGCGGATACATTGCACAAAAGAATGTAAGATGTGATTGAGAATAATCCATTTCGTTTTTAACAATTTACTACACATCATATCGTCATCTACAAGTTTCAAGTGGCCTATAGAGTTTCACATAAAGAAGAGGCAGCATATTGTGCTAGTCAAAATTTTACAACACATCGTATCATCTCCTACAAGTTTCAAGGGAGTGAAAAAGTTTCAATGATTAAAGAACCAAAAGATCGCGCTAGTCAGAGGCTTTCTAATGTAGAGGATTCAAAATAAGCAAAGATACTTTTCAGTAAAATGACCTTTCGGGTGGTATTCCAAGTGGTGACGGAGCATTCTGAAACGGCGCAAGAGAAAGAGTCAAAAACAACATATAATGATTTTGACCGGAAGCGGAGAAACAAAGTGAAAGTAGAAGGTTATGGGTTAGGCAAAAATTTAAGATCTTTAGAAGTTTAAACCTTCCACCTATAACTATTGGAGTAATCTTTAAACTCAGAGTGTGAGCATAGTCATATTACATCTAGAGATTTTAGTGTTGAAGCAATTAGATGGATATGATGATTGTACTCTGATGTTTGAAGCTATTGAGTGAAAATTTAATAACAAAAAATTGTCATACATACTGTATGGTTGCTTGAGTCTCATGAATTTCAAAGTGAAAGTTTTAGCGTATCACCGATTCTAGATCTTTGAGCACTTCATATCAAAGTTATTCCATTTATCAATTAGTATTAGTCCCTTAAGTATAAATGGAAACCATTGTTTACTTCAATGTACTAAAAATCATCAACTTCGAATTCTACTCATTCTTGTTTTGAAGGAATAAATATTTGTGTACAATCTTGTTTTAGTTGTTGATTTGAATTTTGAAATGTCATATTTTTGCAGTTTGTATGTTCAGTCTAACTATACAAGATTTGAAGATGGTCGCAGTAATATTACTTCTTGTTCATATAATCATTGTTTTTATTGCACAATAATTTTAAAAGATGATTGTAAAAAATATTGGAATATTTTTCCATGTGAATTTCTGAAACGAGTCAAACAAGGAAATTCCTAAAATGCAGACATAAACTTTCCCAACCTTAATATCTGGAAAATGTATTTTCATATTAATTGAGAGGAAATAAGATATTTAGACAATTGAAAAATTCTACCTGATGTGTAAGACATAGTTTGTAGAAGATAAAGTTTTCAACGATGTTTGTAAGTAAATATTTCATTTATATTATTAAAATTTTACAAAATTTATTAATTTTGAACTTAATTATTCTTCTGGTTTTTTGCTATAAATATTTAGAATAATTAAAATAAGATATTTCAATATATATATATATATATATATATATGTATACTTAGTTAATGTATACAGGGTAAATACCAGTTTATATTTTGAATATTATAAAAGTGTAAATCAATCTTAATAATAACCGATGTTATGAAAAAATATAATTATTTATTTTTTTTATATTTTTTGTTAATATCTTTAAAAAAAATTATATTGAAAAAGGTGATTACGCAACAAAACTGTCAGTTTATAGAAGTACAAATAATTCGAACTTTCTTTCCAATGTTCTCTTTACAAGTTCAGGATTTCTCCTCGTCTGAACATTGCGCACTACATTCGTGGAAGTAACGATCTACTTTACCCACTGCTCTATGTCTTCTCAAGAATAAGCTTTGTACCAATCTGCTAACATAGATGAGTAAAAATCTGCAAGAGAATGCTAAATTTCATGCGTCGAGTTCTATATTTTTAAACCACAAGTCTCTCAAACATTCCCTACTCGGTCAATTCCCAGTCGATTGAGAAATTTCTTTGAATTATCCAGAAGCAGAAATTGCATATGGATAAGCTGACGAGATTTCATCCAGACGTCGAGGCTTATTCGTTTGATTAAGACTCGACGAAACTGCCAATTCGAATCATCACACCGTTAATGTCACGGACGTACCCAACTCTTTGTCCCCATTCCTTATCCTCGGGATGCGCAACTGGCACAGCCCCGGCCTCCACTGCATGCTGTCAACATCATTCCAGAATTCACATACACTGTCAGAACTTGCTGTTCTCGCTATCAAGGGTTCCACACAGCGCAATTCAATTAGACTGACTACATTGTATCAGCAGGTCAACGGTGGAACATGTACTACACATCCATCCAGAGACCGTGAATTGTCACACCCTGAGGGAAGAAGTTTTCGATGAATACGGGAAGGGGCTAACCTTAAAGGCAGCATCAACGTCGGGGTAACTGAAGGAAAGCTCTACGTTGTGGCGTTGCTCTGATAAGTCAGCGGTTTGAACACCTCCGGTCAATTTAGTCTCTCGCTGCTTCAGAGGAGTGAAGGCGATCGTGGTTGCTCCAGACTCCATCTCTCCCCATCTGAAGGACAATTCACTCCAGAGATCAGAAATCAACCAGGCCAACACGTTTATCCAGTAAAGACACAGTAAAATCAACCACCATTAAACCATCCTCGACAATCACCAGATTAGTGAAAAATTTGGTGCAGAGACTAGTCTCCCTACTCTCTCTTCCTAAAAACCTATGCTCGAGGAAACTTTCATGTCAAAATTTCTGCTACTGAGGATCTGCGAATTTGTACTCTGCAGGAGAAACTACCGACCGATTGCTTTTGTCATGTGTGTGGAGAACATGTGCCGTGAGCTGACGGCAGAAGCCTGTGCGCAATACAGGGCCTAGATTCTAGAGCTACCTCACCCTATATCCATTACTTTAATGATCGACCTTGTGAGGAAGCAACGAACTCATTCATGCAAACGTTCGGAATCGAGAAAGAAGAAGATATTGCATGTTTTGACGGTACCTCTTACTATCGTCTACGCTGCGGCACTTCACTCCGAAGGCTTTCTGGTAGAAGTCCACTGCCTCTTGAACATCAGGCACGTACACAACGGTGTAGGCGAACTTCGCTTGCTGGGCCATGTCTCCCGACTGGGCTCTGAGTGCGTGCTGTTCGTGGATCTGTCTCTGCGTTTGATTATGGTCGACGAAAGGACGTTTGTGAAGCGAATCAACGACCAATGTCGAACCCCCGACGAGCGTACTGGACAAGTGCTGCAATCTGATCGCGGCTCGATTCACTCTAGAAGATTGTGTTTGGAAGGGACTGCTCATGATCCAGCTCGATTCCCGTTTGGCAAACAATCCCGCTGGATGCAGGAAGCATTTAAGAATTCGGACTCCGCCGCTGGGGACCTGCATCGTTCGTGTGTGAGCCTAGGCACCAGCTGCTCGCGATTTCCATTTGTCAAATCTCGGTGCCAGTGAGAAGTCCCGGGAGCAGGAGTGGGGAAGATCGTTCGACACGTCGGCAGTCCGTTCATGTGGAGGCCTGTCCAGTCGACACATCCTGCTTTGCTGACTTGACCTCCATGCAGCTCCTGTACCTCGTCTCGAGAGTGACCGCGTCCCATTCCACGTATGCGGAACGGAACGACGGATAGGATGATGTGGCAAGCTCCTTCAGAACTTTTGAAGCCAGTCAGTTAGTTCTCAGGTAGCGTTATTTTGTATATCGTAGCCTGCATTCTACGGAAGTGATAGTCTTGTGCGATGAGGAGTTTTCCAGAGGAGAGCACCTATGTTTATCTATGTTGCTTTGAACCTAGTTAGTTCCGATTTGTTACGCTCATATTTCACGTTGTGATGATTTTGGGACCTAATTTCATGTACTATGGGGTACATGAAGCATGGTTTCATCAATGTAAGACTTTATAGGGTCTTCCTTCCTTTTTGCATTACTTCCCACTTCGCAACCAAAGTAGTAAAGTAAAATCCCTAGTGCCAATATCCTGCATACACTTGGCGATTACCTTGATCAGATCTGCAGTCAATGACGACTTCGTTTTCCCCACGACTTCAGAGTAAGTACTTTGTATGGAAACGATATTCGAGCTTCATTTTAGATGTTGAATTTTATGCACATTTCATTTGACGAGCAGTATACTGGAGGTGCTTTGATGTAATAACGATACCCAGATTTTTCGCGTGGTGCGACGTCCATCATTTTGTTAAATTAAAAGCATGTATCCTAAATTAGCTTATTTTGAAAATTTTAACGCCGATAATATACAGTTTGATACAGAAAAAATATAATAGTTTATTTTCAATAATATATTCTACATGTGAAAATTGGTAATTCCTGTTAATCAAGTAACCGTTTAATTCAAAAGTGATTGAAGTTAGCTCATAGTCTTTATTTACCTTCAGATGATGATATAAGGAATCAAATAAATTTATTTTTATATTTGGCAGTTTATAGCAAGAACAAGGTATGAAGAGTAAACTTTGCTTCAAGTAATAAAATGAAATGAATAAATAAAGCGCTTTAGTGTTGTTTCTCTTATAGAATTATTTCCACAAGATAAATGTGAAGCAATTGATCTTTGAAAGATAAGATTCAAAGATAGCATTATTTGACCCATTGACAACTTTTGAGGATTATAAAATTAAGAACATGAGTTTTATGAATCAGGGTTCCGTGCTGTCAATGAGTAATTCAACCGTGTCGATTTTATTTTATGCATACAGGATTAAAATGTATAAAAATGCGTTGTTTGTGATTTAGAAGAAGATGAATGTATGGGCCAAGTAAATTATATAAGAAACCTAAACACTTATCAACGAGATAATAATCGTTTCAAAATTCAATAACTGTGCAAAGATTAATTAGACATGCATCACAGGCATGTCAAGAATCAGGTAGATAAGTATTAGGATTTCCACGTATTAATGAAACTGGGGAAAATAGTCCGATCCACTCGCTTCATGAAAATAAATCGTGACCAATAAAGGTGCAAAAATATTTGCGAATTATGAAAGCGTTCGGCATGAAGAGCCGATAAGGGGAGAGGCCGATTTACAGAAAGCAAGCGCTTTTGAGGAACCTCGATCCGATTATACTTTTCTTTGATCGAGGTTAAAGGATTTGCCCTGGATCCAACAAATACAAAAGGATAGCTCGCTATCGAGTAGGAACTGTAAAGCCACGGACGAGCACGGCAGAAATTGGAGTCAACCAGGGAGCGGGGCGAGCCCATCGGGTTCACCATAAAATACAGTGCAGAAATGTGAACCGTAAATGATCGTGGTGGAGGGGCGCTGTCAGCGTCACAGTCCAGCGTCCGATAAGGATGCGGGATAAGGGGAAAAAGGAAGGAGCGAAAGAAAGACTCTGGAAGTCCGTCTATCCAAGTTCTTGTAGCACACAGAGACAGTTGCTTTTTAGGGGATGAAGTTGCGCTGGTGTCTGTTTCGCGGATCTGCGACCCCAAAACCCTAATCCTGGCCACGGAAGGTACGCTGAGCTGAGGACCCAGGGGCCAGGGCATGTCGAATTCTGTCACAGGTCGCGAGCTTCTGTGGGGTTTAGGTGGAATTCGCAGGGTTTTGCGCTTGCAGGGTTCGCTCGCAGGGGCCCCGACCGGAAGGAAGGGCAGATGTTCATGATTGGATCGAGGAAAATTGCGTGAGCAGGGGCGCAGTGCAGCGCAGCGAAGCGAAGGGCAGGGCTATGGTAGGCGCTTAGCATGGTGGACAGTATGCGTTGCGATCTCTGCGGTTGTTGTTTGAGGACCGGATCAGAATGCTGGTGCATATCGTGAGCTTGGGTTTAGGAGTTGGAGGAGTGGTGGGATCACGGGACATCATGGCCGTTTCTCGAGCTTGGGCTCACAGTTTTGCCGGGCTCCGTAAGCTGCATTCTCTCAGCTCTGTTTCCGTTTCTCGCACCGGCTCCCACATCCCGACTTTTGAGCCCTTGGGTGAGTGCAAGCCAGCTCGATTTCAACTTGCGCAATTGATTTCTTTCGCTTGGTGTGATTCAGTTTGGCGTCTGCTTTCGTCTCCTCTCCACTTCTGCTCATTTGTTCGATGAATTCCGTTTGTTGATTTACTACTGCTTGTGTACCCCGATCTGCTTAGATAACTGGAATTGCCGTCTTCGGTCCATCAGTGTCGTAGAAATGTGTGCTCGAGCTGAGGTAGTACGCAAGAGTTTTTTGAAACGAGTGTGCTCCTTTTCCGTCATGGAGATGGGCTTGTCTCCTTAATCTGCTTTCATCTGCTAATGATGCGGCTAAATGTGCATTCGGTTGAAGCGGGACTATGAGCTAGCTATGTCCCTTCTATGGATTTTGATTTTCTAGACTGAATGGTGAAAGGCACTGGTATGATGCCCTGCATTGCACCCAAAATCAAAAAGGAGGAAATTTACAATTGATATCTGCGTTAAAACTGTATATTATTATCGTAAAGGGCGTCCAGTTATACAGCATAAGACTTAAGAGGAAATGTGGAACATGCCCTGGCTGGTGAGTTAGTTTTCAGTTGATGTCCGATGAACGCTCCTTCTGGCTGCGTCTCTAACGTTTTGGGGCAATTCGGGACGACATGGCAGTGCAACAGAGCTTTAGACCTGCGAGATTGTCGAGATCCATCGCCCATGCTGCAGCGTTAGAAGAATCCTCTGACTTGAACAAGAAGAAAGGAGAGAGGCTCTCGAGGGCAGAGAGATATGTCCTTGTCGAAAGTTTTGTATTGAGGTTTGTTCCTCTCATTTTTTCTCTTTGATTGAAGACATTCGAGTTGTAAATTTTACTTTAGATGATAAGATTCTCCCAGCGAAGTTCGTTGCTGAGAGTCATGGTTTGTCAACGCAGGCACAAAGCTTCTCATGAAGGAAAGTGGCCGAGCCTCACTGCTATTCTGAAGGAGACGGGTGGGAGTCGTGTCATTGTCAAAGACATTCTGGATGAGCTGACCTCCAAATCGGGCAGTGGCGTAGCAGCATCTTTAAGTACCCAGGAGATCGACGATTCTTCAGTAGAACTAGAAACAGCTCCGGAAGTCAGAGGCGTTCTCAAGTATGAAACAGTCGGTTCATTGGGTCGTACGGAAGTGGAAGCCGTTAGTACTAGTGACTTGAGCAGCGATGAAGAGGAACTGGAATCACCTGTTGGCTACCTTCCTGACGATTCTTCTCCGAACAGTGACGCAAAATCTAACCGCAGCTCGGGTGAAGTTGCAAGTGACGCGGGCCTCTGGAGAAAGTTGCGCAACCTCGGTAGCTCTCAACAAGATGCTTCTCTGGAAGCCAAGGAGGAAAGCCCCCAACCGGCGGCCAGGTCACCAACTCCAGTGACCTTTGATAGTTATGATACCGACTTGGAAGAAGATGGGGACATAGATGAATTGGCAGGTGATGATTTTGAAGAATCAGATGATGCTCCAGGCCCCGTCGTTGTTCCACATCACCATCATTCCAGACCTGCACCTTCTTCAACGCCTCCTGCAGTGGAGAGTCATGGACTCTTCATCAGATTTTTACCTTTATCTGCCACTGAGACAGATCTTAGGGCTGCTTTCCAAGATTGCGGAGAGATCGTGAGAGCGCAGGCCATGCAGCCTAAGGGTTCTGGTCTAAGATTCACTTACGGGTTTGTAGACTTCTCGGTACGTAATCCACATCCAAGCCTTCTGTTAAAGTAGGTCTGTTGGGCATGGTGTTTCGTTTTGTCGTATTCCTTGGGCTGTTTTGTATAGATGGAATCCGATCTAGCCTACAGGTGGTCCTTTTTTTTCCATGACTGAACCTAGTCTGTCCTTTCTTGAAGGCTAAGAAAAGGATCAGTTCTGTTCTTCTAAGTTACAGTGAGGTCTGAGCATTGTTACATGGATTCAACGTTCGTTTTGTTTTTCAACAATTTTTTTTTTGGGTTGCTTTGTGGTGTCTAGCTGACTTTTAGCAAATTCTGCCAATGACACCATGCCTAGCTCTTTCTGTGCTGTTACGTGGAATATTATCAACTCATATGAATTGCGGATATGTATACGCTGGATGCCAGGACATAAGTGCATAGGTAAATTTCAATAGAAGCTTCGATTTGTTCCATTTTAATTAACATGTCATCTTCCCGCAGACACCGGAAGGGTTGAGCAAAGCGTTGAGGAAAGAGAAGGTTTTTATCAAAGGTTCTACTGTCATTACAGAACCTTGCTCCGGTCCTAGGAGATCCGAAGGCAGGCCGACGAGTGTACGGAATCCGGTGGTAGATCCATCAAGGAGAATTTTCACTAACAGTAGACCTCTCAATGGGGCTAGGACTCCTATACTAACTCGTCTGAGGCGTACCGATTCCCCAACTGGCAGTGATGTTGCTGTGCGCACTCCATCAGTGCCAGAAAGGAATTCTCGTTTTGTCGCCGTAGAAGGTTTGCCATATCCAATGCCTATTAGTGCTATCGAGAAGATGATGTCAGCTCACGGTGAGATTGCCCGATCAGAGCTCGGACGCGAAGAAGGTGGAACGTATTCCGCTCAAGTGGAATTTAAGGTACATTAACCGCAAATAAATATTTTTTTATCTGCAAGTAAACCTCGAAACCTACCATCTCGATGGGTTAGTAGGCGAACCTTGAATACATTCTGTGGATTCCGTGTCTTAGTTCCTCTCACCACTGAGTATATCGGTCACTTCGTTCTTATAGAAGTACAGTAATGAGTGTCTGTCCAAAAATCTTGCATCGCTGATGTGGTCCAACCTGTTCGTTACGCAGACGGAGGAGGCTCGAGACAGCGCTTTAAATTCAAACAGGGTATACTTGGGAGGTCGCTGGTGTCGAATAACCACCGGCGAGCCGATTCTAACAACTGTAGTTAGACTTTCAAACATTGGTGCTGATGCGTCTGAAAACTTGATTCTACAAAGGTGCCAAAAGTTCGGTCGGGTGGAGGAAATCGTCGTGCGTAGGGAAGGCGTCATGGATGTTTACTACCATCCAAGTGAGAGGAAGAACATGAGGAGAATTCTCGACAGGTGAGTGTATTCACTTCGTAGACAGCAGGTCTTTTCCTGTCTCAGTTCTTTGTGCCAGTCCAAGTCTTAGACAGTGCGGACATATTCTCATTTGTGATTCGGAGTCTTAAGAGTGCTTCCTAGTCCTGTCATATTCGTCTGAAATAGTCTGTGTCGGATTGTTCTCGTCTCCGTGGAAATGTGATCTGTTCTGCGTCGTGTCCTTATTTAATTGTTTGTTCACGATGCAGAATGGGTGAAGTAAATGCCGATTACAAAAGATGGCACGCAACTCTGGCTCCCAAATGCTCCCCGCAAGAATATCGCGATTCTGCTGAAGTTCAAGAGTGGGCTGAAGTGCAAAAAGATAGGCTTCTGGACAACCTTACAGCCGCCATCCAGAACATCACATTAGACCTCGAAGATCTGCGAGAGCTCGTAGAGGTAGAACGCCACGGTGTTTCCTCGAATGGGGCGTCGAGAGCTACTGAGAAGCCGATTCCGAAATGGAACAGGACATAGAATGTTCAATACAGGTCCGATATATTCGGCATTTATATCGTGGGGCAGGTTCAGCCGATAGAGGTAGGGTCAATTTTATGAGATATCTGCGGCATTAGGTAGAGTGTCCATGTTTGTCATGGATTGTCTGATGGCTGCCCCTATTAGATGTTAGGAGAGTCACTCGACTTGTTGGGAGAGGTTATTTTAGAACACTGTCTTTTTAGCTCTCGTTGTCACTGAAGCTGATATCAAATCCCCTAGTACTGTCGAAGACTAATTACAAGGACATTAGTATTCAAGCTGGCATTCAAATGAAATGACCAATCAATGCAGAGCAACTAGTGATAGTGTTATCGTCATGGTCCTTAGATTTGTGTTCCTGAAGAAGAGCACGCATGAAATAAGGGCCGGTGTCTTCACGTGGAACAACAATGTTGGCAAATTGTTTTCCTGGCTATTCAGGAAACTTGTGTGAACTACGCAAACCATTTCACAACTCCACATGTGTATTCTCCGCCAAGCCTGAAATTGCCGCACAAAATCTTGTTGGTTCATTGGGACTGTCGGGAGCGATCGATCTCTCGGGTGATGTACATTTTATATCTCCTACTCTCGTCAAGAGCATTGTCGAGATACATGTCGAGATTTCCTGTTATTGATCAAAATGTCTCACCCATCATGAATCGTACATGTGAATGAGATTTACGGACTACTTCAGTGTGAAGGCTCCCTTCTCGTCTGTTTCTGTGCCAAGTTAGCTTGACATGTGCTCAAAGGCGCGGACGTCCGCCTCTACTGAGGAAAGTAGAGAAACTTGATGTCGTCTTTGTGGATGCAGTTCGGACTGAGATGGTCGTTTCTCTAGTAAGTCTTTTGATCAATCACAGCCCTCAACACCACTCATCACTTTCCTACAGGAGTAAATTGATAGCCTGGACTGAACTCACTGGTGTCAAAAGTCTCTCTGCACAATAAGCGCCGAAATGAGAAGTGGCCTCTAGGACCCAATTAACAGAACTGTCGTGAACCGAGACTTCTTTACGATAATACGGATCGGTCTCAGGGACATTGAGTTGAATTTCATCACAAGTTCACGTCTTCAGCTGTCAACGGAGGACTGAGACAGCAGCGAATGGAGTCAAAGATGCCGGGAGTGGCCGGAGACAATGCGCTGAGGTGAAACGAGAGAAGTGGAGAGTGTTTGGGAGCAGAGTTGCATGCGCGTGCCCACGAGGCATGTGCTCACTTCGATTCATCCCATAGAAACCGGATTGGGGACAGATAATTGGCCGCACGCGCCATCCATTTCCGATGGTATTGTTGCATTTTCCCTCGATCCGTGGTCTGTTTGTCTCTCCCTCGCTCCCTCCCTCCCTCGCGGGATGCTGGCGACATACAGTGGGTTCCCTGCGCTGCGCTGCTTTGCCTCGTCTCGTCACACACTGACCCCATCGTCGAGACGAGTGGCATCGAATCTTGTAAGAAAATGATGAATTTCAATTATCTTCGGGACACCTCGGATTCCAAAACCCTCTTATCCCAAAACCCTGCTCGATCCGCTCATTCGCTCAATTCGGACTGGCAAATGTACCCCGGCCCTTTTGCTTTTCTTCAGCTGCCTTGGCCGCTTTATTGCTGCAAGCATGGGATTTGTCGGGATTTTCCCCACGCCATGACCGGAGGAGGGAGATGTCTGCTGTAGGCGTGAGATCGTCGAGTCACAGCTCTGTGCGAAGGAGGAGGAGGGGGAGGAGGCAAGGAGAACGAGGCGCAGGTCCAGGCGCAATGGGAAGGACACGAATGTCGGTCGCAGAGACGGGGAAATCCTAGCAGCGATTCGTGCACACGTAGAGAGTTGCCGGTGATGTGGCCGTGCGGATGGGGATTGGAGACATCGTGGCCCATGTGGTGGCATGGGCCAAGAGCATTCGCAGTCCCGACTCTCGGCCCGATGAAGCTGCGACAGAAGCATCGCCTGCGATGAAGGAGGGGCTGGACGCTGGGATCTGCTCTTCAACTTCTGCACATGTTTGCTCGCCCTCGCCAGCATATCCGCGCAAGCTGCCAGACTCCCCTTGAGCACAACTCTCCTCTTCCCCTCTCGCTCCGTTCCATCAGTCGATGCCCCTTCGCCTTCGCCAGCGCCTCCCACGTATTATATAAATGCCCAGTGGCCATTTTGTTAAGACAGAGGATCACGCAGAGCTGGGAAGCCATAGGGTTCAGAGCTCTGTCGTGAGGAAAGACTTCTCTGAAATTCCGAGTATTGATCGATCGACTTGCAGATTGAGAAGAAGACCGACGCGAGAACGAGAGTGGAATCCGCAAGAAGCAGCATTAGCGGAAATATCTCGCGGAATGGGTTGCTTCTTCAGTAAGATGGGCAAGGGAGGGGACGAGAAGCATATCCCGTTCGAGAAGCGGGAGATTGACAGTGGAGGAGGCGCTCACGGTGGACCGGACTTCGATGGCAATGGGGCCTCGTCTTACAGGGATAATGAACCACAAAGCGCCCGCCCTAGTTCAGCTAGAGCTCCGGAGCCAGGAAGTGCACGACCGTCCTCCGCTAAGAGAGATTAATGGATCGATGCGCACGACTCGATTGATCAAGTGATTGATGGATTGATACGCACGAGTAACCTCATTCAGTTTGGCAGTTCAAACGAAGTTTGCTACTCTTCTATTGCACGATAGGGAAACCTTTTGATACTTGTGGAGATCCTCACCCACCCGGTGAGTTACCACGAGACGTGAGAAAAGCTTCCATGCTCAATACATTTTTGTGCGTATGTGGTTTTCTCTTTCAGAGCAGGATAAATTTGGCTGGGTGGCTTTGGGGTGGACCAGATCCTGCTATGGAGTGAGTCTGGGAGGTCTGCTGCACTTTATGGAACAGAGCGGGGCATGGAATGAGGGCGATCTCCAGCCAAAGCTGTAAGATTGTGTCAGGTGTTTTGGTGCGATACACATCGACACCATTCGACTTCACTTTGTATAACCTGTATAACAATATAAACATTCAACCGCTTCTGCTTAAGAGTCACATAGGGATTCTAATTGTCATTCATTAGTTCCTTGTAAAATTCCTACTACAAGGAGCCACATATTTGGTCGACATTTGTTACCGTAGTGTAAGATGTTAGATAAAGGTGTCGAGCTGCTTTCTAGTAGTTCTGGCCTAGCATAGCAGACTGACACAAGGCATGTCAAGTTCTAGTTAGATTCACCGATTTTGCAACTATGAATAAGAAGGCACCACGTTGCCTTGTTGCACTTGCAACTTCCTTTTCTCACTTGTTTCTACATCTTGTCTCTCTTTCATGAGCATATCAACTTTCCCCATGCATCATTTAACACTTCCTCTCCTTGAGCATGTAGCGCCTGTGACTAGACTCTCCACCACCATTTCTAGATGCTTGTACTTCTAGGTCTCTGATGGAAGCTTACCTGATCAAATTTTCTTGGCCATGGGTAGTACCCATTATAAGGCTGCTGTTCAACTTCAGCTGTGTTGGTTTGGACTGCCGAACAGTCACTAACTGTAGTTATCAATCAGTGTTCCTTGAAGGTTATGGGGATTGTAGAAGTAGTCGAAAAGATAGAAATTGGAATGTATGCCAGCAGTGGTTGAGGTTGATTTAATATTTTCATGTTAAGTATGCTCACCTCTTTCTAGTATGTTGCAAATATACCGGATCCAATCAGCAGTTTTCGCTTGGATTCCACTTGTGACGAAGTTTTTGACAACATTTAGACTTCCAATCTACTCAGGGTCAACTTGAAGTATAGACGCCTCAAATTCAGAGCCTTAGGGAACGATATAGATCTTGTATATATCTTGTGGTGTTTCTTCTAATTTGGAACTCATCCATGCTTGCTTGTGGAGATAGTCTTGTTGCTTCTTCAGTTTTTATTCAATGTATGGAGTAAAACTGTACATGTTTAGCCAGTTCACCAAATCGCCAAAAAGTCGTACTTTAGGGACCTCCTCAAACAGCACTTCAACTTTACTATCCAGTAAAGTTGACAGTTGGACATAGGGAGTGAGTATGAGCTACACGAAGTTCACTCCAATCTTAAAATAGAAAGTCTCTTACTACGATTCCAGATTCGAAGAAAACCAAAACTCACCAACGACGTATTGTCGTCATCCAGTGATACGCGAAATGAATACAATCTCTGACTGCTTGTGCGCAGAATAGTAACAGTCGAAGCATCTGTTTATCTTCTGTGTGCTCTGCGATGCAAGTCTGGGTACTGATCGACCGGTAAGGTCCTGCCCTTAACCTGCTTGTTCGAAGTGCAAAGATGGAACTTACTACTTTCCCTGGAGTGGTTTTTCATCCGTGGTTCTGCTGTGGAAGGCCTGCCATGAAACTCATACATATGTAAACTCTTAAGAACTGCACTGTTCAGAAACGAGCTTTTGAAATCCCTCTTCTCTCAAAGGTTTGGTAAAAGTGAAACTGAAGACTTCGATATTTGTGAGGGTTTTTAAGCTGATGAACCTCCGATGCCTTCTGAGACAGTTGAACCTGCCGAATCAAAGAGGGATGAGGATAATCATTTCGTTGCACATGGATTGAAATGGGACGATGTTTGATTGTCCACTGTCGTCAACTTCAGGTAATACCGTAGTTAGAGGTGAGTAGGAAAAGAAAGGTACCCGGTGCATGGAACACGATTTTGAAGGTGGAAGGGACAAGGAGCAACTTGTTGGATTCTTTCAACCGTGCAGGAGAGCTAGTATGAGGAGGATGAAGGAAAGCACGGGTTTTATTTGCAGGAACAGTTGTTGGTCTGCTGTATATGCATGAAAGCCAGCACTTCTGCCAAAAGCCCCGTACTGAGATATTGCACAAGCTGTACTCGTATACGGCAATGTCAATGGCACAGAAAAGAACAGAAAGTTAGAGTTATGGCGGAAGTGGTGAGCTGTGGCCATGCAAAGATCTCAACACTGTGCAGAGAATCGTTGACGACGTAAAGTACTTCAGCTTCATGACATTGGTGTACGATTATCTTCATTCCTGCTGGACCTGAACTCCGAGGCGCTAGTTCTCGTGAGGAAAAGACCAACAACACATGAACAACAGTCCATGCCATGTGTTGCAAATTCAGAACAGTCTCTGAGCACGAGGTCATTTGATCCTAGATGAAAGTGTCCGACGTTCTAACCTCTTTATAGATCCAGTTCAATCTTCCCTGTTCCAGAATCTTGAATGGTGTCACAACAGCCCTCAATGATTTCGCAGCAGATATTCGAGCAGAAGATCTCAAATCTGCATCTGACGTAAAATCGATCTGTGTGCTTTTTTGAAAAAGTCTTCGGACCAAGAACATCGGTTTGATATTTGATGACTACACTGCAACTAGCTCAGCACAGCCGGGATGCATATGCTTCTTCAGTTCGGAAGTCCTCAGAGTGCATCGATCGTCTGATCGTCAGCTGACAAAATCTGTTTACTCGCTGCTTCGTTAATATTTACTCTCTACTCGTTCGCTGACCGAAGCAGCCGAGTTATACTCAGAGCACATCCAGAACTTCTCCGGGCACCGGATGCCGCTCTCGGTAACCTCGTTGGTTGTGGTGGCCGATCGATTACATTCCACGTGTGTCCGGACCTATGGCAGTGGCTGGACATGGGTGGGTTCATGTGTCATCTATCGATGCCGCCGTTGTGGCCTCAGGAGACCAATCGCCCTCACATGTAACACGCACTTGGAGGGTGACAAGCTTGTAGTACATATAGTCCTCCTTCGTGGCGTGATCCTTGCCATATGGACAAGGAGCATACCATGGAATATTTGCCAGTATGATCGAAACAGAATTAGCCATGTCTCAACATCCGACATAGGGACCCATTCAAGTTGTTTGGCTGAATATCCCTGTAGGGACTGTCGCTGAAGGTTAGTATATATGGGATATCTACAAGTAATCCACAAGATAATATGCTTCCTCTTCATTGGCGACTTCTGTCAGTCTTTATTATTCCAAGCTCTTGATTAACTCATCTAACTCCTACGTTTTACCTCTATGCACTGCCATGGTGATGTGCTGCATTTGATGATAATATTTCAGTCTACTCATGTTCCTAATCTTTCTCAAAAGTACTAGACTCCTCTTCTATAAGGTGGAAGGAATTCCTCTCAGTTTGTCTTGGAGGTGCTAGGAACTTTTACTAGATACCATTGGTACCTTTATTCTTGTGTTATGCAAAACAATCATTATTCAAAACTAGAATTCAACCCACACGTATAGATACCTGAACTAGGTATCTATACGTTCAGTCTGTTTATGTCTGATGTTACGTCCATAGATCATAATGTCATTTTACCAGCGTTTCTAATATAGCTGTTTAAGTCACAAGTATCGAAGTTAATCAATACCAAGTTAACTCCTGGACGTAAATGATCAAAGTGGTCGGTTTTCCTTAGAGACAAAGGTCTTCTGGTCCTGGATAAAATTCAGAAAATTGCCTTTTCCGGAATTCGGTTTGGTATTCGCGGTGGTGGATGACATCAAATCTAACAAACGGAGACACTGATTCTCCTGGTTTACGACGCCTTACCTTCTAGAATAAACCTTCTCATGACCCATTTTTTGGGTCCTAGCCCTGGAACGAGTTCTAAATCCATATGAGGAGGAAGTTTCAGCCACATGGCTCTCATGCTGGTTAATGGATTGGAGAGATTCAACGAAGATCTACGAGATCATCCTCCTTGTTTAGATTAGCATGGCCCCTGCGCAAGGATGACACGCACACGCACTTGTTCGTCGTCAAAATAGCCTAATTGGTTTCTGTATGAATTTGTGTCATGGTCATGGTTCCATTGAACCTTACACATTGTCGCTTAATTGTTGGGGCCGCCATCTTGTGGGTATATGTAGATTTGCACGCTTCAATGTTAAACTCGTGTTCGAAGTCGGGTCACAAGTCACAAAATTCCCTCACTTTCTTCCGCCCAAGGGCGTAGCAGCTACGCCCTACGGGAACCGAGCACCGGCATGCCCATCCATGCAACTCGTATAGTCGGTGACCTACGGGCCGTAGGTCACCGACTATACGAGTTGAATGACAAAGCTCTGAGGCTCTGCTGACGTGGAGTGGTCTCCTCGCTCTTCTAAGTCACGGCTCCTTCCACTTCACTGTCTTTGTCCGCATCTCCCGACATCTGCCAACGGTCGAGTGGGCTTGTGGGGATAAGATCTGCCTTCGTCAGCGTATGACGCTTGATCTTCTTTCGCTTGTGGGCCAATGACCTAACCCTGTCTGCCAGCACTCTTCGCTTGCAAATAGCCTTCAGCGAAAAGGTCCAGATTTTCTCTGGCGGAAGTTGGATCGGACTTCGCATCTTTGTATGTCATTCGTCCCCGTTGAAACATGTAGCATATGCACGCGGCTAGGAAAAATTTCCAGAATAAATCTTTCCTTCTTTATTATGTTGTTCGGCAGTCAGTTACATTTTAGAGAACATCTTCGATTTAAGGTACAACCTTCATGGTCTAACCGTCTAACATGTTCTTTTCCGGCATCAGCAGCGCAAAAATATATTTATAATATGCTCTTTATATTGATAAAGAGTTAGGAATTTTATTTTATTTTACAAACACCTTGTACTATGCCAAATTCCTTACCACGTGAATAAGATGGCAAACCAATACAATGAACGTCTTTGGAGAAACCTTAGACATACAAATCATCATCATCATCGGTGTAAAAAATATACACTTCACAAGTAGAATTTCATTTAGAGATACGGAGAATCCCAATTAGAACAGTACAATTCTGCTCCAGGCGCATGTAATATATCATTCAAAGAAAGCATTGGTGAGAAAAGCTCGTGGGCTGGAACATTACCAATTTCACATAAAAATGAGCACTAGGGTTGGAGATCACTACATTTCCCTACTTTGAAAGGTTGCATTCTACCCTTGCTACTCATGACCAATTCTTGTCGCAACTCTTGCAAATCGGAGATTCCAGTACACTAATCATAAACGTATTTGCGCACTACTCAAAAACGCTACCTACAACTAATCCGCCATGATTTTGTTTAATAAATCTTGTAACATTTAATGTACTCTATCAAAGTTATCTACAATCATTTGCAATTCTCGTACACAGTTTGCAATCTCAATATACTAGAGAAGGAACAATTAAATGACTACAACCATAGAAAAGTCATCAAGTAATAAAATTAGCAACCAGTCTCCAATCTTATCATGATGGAAAAATGTGACTTAAAATCTTTATATAAAATCACGAAGGTTTACACAATACGCTAGAAAAAATCGTGTCATTCCCAAACTGACATATTCACACTTTATCAAAAACTTCAAATTTTGCATTCAAGCCTAAATATTACTCTGGTGACATGCAAAAAATATATTGTTTTCATATCTTTATAATTAAAGTCTTTGTTGATTTCTGCCACACTCCTCATATATCCATAACCATAGATTTTCATCTACTCAAAAACTTTACCTGATGTAAAATTGATAACTAGGATTTGTATAA